TGGTCTTCATGATACGTTCCACGTGTCAAACCTAAAGAAGTGCCTAGTAGATGCACACTTACACGTGCCACTAGACGAAATCAAGGTAGACAACAATTTACGTTTTGTGGAGGAACCCGTTGAAATCATGGATCGTGAAATAAAGAAATTAAAGCGGAGCAGAATTCCGATCGTCAAAGTTCGATGGAACTCCAAACGGGGACCAGAATTTACCTGGGAGCGGGAAGATCAAATGAAAACCAAGTATCCACATTTGTTCCTTTGATCGAATCTCCAGCATTAGTAACAATTGAATTTCGGGACGAAATTCTTCTAACTGGGGGATGCTGTGACATCAGTCACCAACCCAAACCGTAACTCGAAATCTAACGTTAGCCCTTTTAGTAAATTTATGTGCTCACATGCTTCCTGAAACATAAGGAGTTGGGTAGGTTCATTTTTTTTCCCTTAAGTACTCTAGTCATTCTAATAGTAGAGGAAAGCTAAGGGTTCATAATTCCTAAGTTGAATTTCTTTTCCCGAGTACATAATTGGTCTATACAAATGTTTTATGTGCATTGTACCGGTGACTAAAAGCCTTAAGTAAATGAATTGAGTTAATAATGTTAACTAGTTAGGTTGTTAAAAAAAAAACTAATAAAAAAAGCTAATATTATCAAAGGAGCTTATCATATAAAGAAATAAATCAAGTAGTTTTAAATAAATTAAATAATATATTTATGTATAATTATCCATGGAAAAAAACGTACGGGAGTTTATCCCATCTTTTTTTTTCTTTTTCCTTTCTTTTTTCAAAATTTAAATATAGTAGTTAGTTGTTGATAATCTTCTATACTTCTTTATCTCCTCCTAAACCCTAATTACTCTCATTCCTGAGAAAAACAAAACACAACATTCTCTCTTTTTTCCCCTTTTGCTTGGTCAAGAATCATCATCACCATCATGTTATTCAAAATTTTGTTCTTCAAACTTGCAAGAAACAAGTTCCTTTGATTCCTAAACGAAGCCTTTGGTAAGCGTCCAACGTTTTTTTTTCCTTCTATAAGTTCTTCTCTAAATCCATAAGAAATCTAATTTTCTCCTATTTTTCTAATGATCCATGAAGGGTACTTGAAGCCTTCAAGTGATATCTTCATCACAAATCGTTGAGTTGGTTAAAACCTTCACCTTGTTTGTCTTTCTATCGTCTTTATGATTTTCATTCGATTGTTAATGTAACTCTAATGGATGGAATATATTTTTGATTAAAAACATTTAGATTTTATAAAAGAATAAGTTTTAATGAGTCTTGACTAATAATAGGGTCCTTGGTATGGTTGTTTAGTAAAAACAATGTCGCTTGATCCATTCCAGAATCTGGGCAGAAAATGTGTTGACTTGGAGAGGCCGTATCTCAGTCATAACATGGAGTTAAAATACGAATTTTGGGTCTAGGTTCAAGTTCAATGAGTCTACTTTCWKTTCCAAGTGGTTTCGTGTCAAAACAACAAAATTAACTTGGTCAAAAAGCCTTTACCGTTCAGGGTTGCAAAGCTGGAAATTTTGGACAGAATCTAGGACGTTTTGGGGGCGTCACAACTCCCTCATTTTTTTTTTCGAATTCTTTGGTAAAACTTTTCTGGATTGAGTTCAATATGTCTATTAGAATTTTTGGAGGTCTTTAAGCATTTTATTTTGTATATAACTTTCTGTTGCGCAAAACARAACGATTTACTGACTTGTACTTTTATGTTATTTTTAAAATTAGTAAAACATTAATTAAAATTAAGGAAAATTTCTGAAAAATACCTAAGACTCGGAAGTCTCTACCATTAAATTTTGGAACCTTATCTAATTCATTTAAGGTATAGGAAAAATTCTTGAAGTAACMTAAAATTTCGGTTAAGAAACCAAACTTATAAAACTTGGGCAAACCATCGATACTTAGGTCGAGATGACTACCCACAACTAATTGACTTATAGTTTTACGACGC